CTGGTGGAACCACTGAGACCATGGCCCCTAGCTGCCCTTCAGGTCTGGAATTGAACCCACACCTGTGGTTTCCAGCCAAACAGAAGACAGGCATATGAGTCGAACATTTACTTGAGGTAGATACACTCCTTGGAGAGAAGAATCATTGAGAAAGAAGAGCTGCCTATGCACAGGGAAACAGCTCAGGGGGCAGGAGTCCATGGAGGGATGGACACTGGCAAGAGGTAACTATGAGGAGGAAGTGGGAGGGGAGCTGTTGCATTGCGGTAAACTGTGGTCAATGTCATGAGACAAGGTATATGTGAACTGCTGTATGGAAAGCGAATTTGCTCTGTAAATCTTCACCCAAATCACAATTAAAAAAAATGGTACAGAAAAGGCAAAAATGGAAGACAGGGTAGGAGGAAAATAAAGATTGGGAGGAAAAAAGCAGTAAATTCTTTATCAGTAGACGTGGCATTGGTGGGAAGATTACCTCTTCTGCAGCCTGGGACTTGGAATGGGGGTCCTCTTTTTAATTACCTCATCCATTCCTGGTCCTGTTTCTTCGGTTTTACTATCTTCTTCCTCATCTTCCTCCTCGTCGTCATCACCCCAAAGCCTCTCATCTAGTTTGTCAGCTTCCTCACCATTGAGATTGCCCATCTGTTTGTCCAGGTCTCCACCCTCACTGTCTGATTTCTCATCATCCTCTTCTGAAAAGGGAAGACACTAGCTTTAGTTAGGAGGTCCTCAAGCCTGTCCTGTGGGTGTGGGTCCTGAACCCACTCTCTACAAGTGCCCTGCCTACGATGTTTTGGTCTGTTTCTACAGAATACCCTAAGGGGCAGATGTCTTTACATCTACTGAAGTAGCCTACTCTATTTTGCAAACTGTTTGGGGAAACTTCCAAGTCTGCAATGTGTTTATAGACAGGAAGAAGAGTGCTAGAACAGCTGTCAGGACATCCTGGTTCTTTCTGATGCTGGGAGAATATTCACTATGGGACTTGGCAACTTCACTTGGCTTTAGTTCTGTATCTATGAAATGATGGAGCTGGACTAGATTATTTCCAAGGCTCTTTCCCTAGCTCTAACATACTGTGCCTCTACTATTTTGTTCAACATCTTAAATTATATCTAGCTCAAGTAATCAGAATTGTCTTGTTTTCTGTACTTAAGATCTATTTTTCCAAGAATTATTTCCTTATACTGCTTAGGCAAGTGTACATCTTCTACTGAAGTCAGCTTTCATTTCTGTTTGCTAAGAATAAGACACTAACTCTTAAGTTAAGCTTTGGACAGAAATTTGAGGTATTGCTAAATTATAAACATATGAACAGATGATTTAAGAAATTATATTCTCAAATAATTTTAATGACAACCTAACAATTAATACCTTAAATTTAGAAAGTAGCCTATACAACTGTATGTGACTTGTCTATACACACACACACACACACACACACACAACAGATGGAAAGGAATACACCAAAATCTATTATTATTTGGGTGGTAGATCTAAGGATGACCTATTTCATTCCTACATTTTTGTTCCCAATGTTCTACAACATATGTCTACAATTTTTGTGATTAGGGAAAAAAAAAAAGTTACTAAACAAACAAACAAAAAAAAAACTAACCAGAACACTTTGCTTTTGAGTCTATTAGTGGCCAATTCCTTCCTCTTTCTGGTTCCCCTTCTGCATCACTAAATCTGGCAGAGGAGGCAATCAGAACAGGGGCCAATGTCTTGGTTTACTCAGAGAAGAAGACTCTTCCATCTGCCTCATTGGAGATGGTGATGGCTTATGCATATGCTGACTGTGGTTTATGGGCAGTTATATGTAGTCATGCTCAACTTATCCCAAAAGATTATAGTAGTGTCCTTACTGGGAACAGGTATATAAAATATTTTCTGAATAAAATATTTATTTTTCAAAAACAAGAACAGAGGGACAGATATTCTGTGTTATTAATCTCAAACCTTGTTCTTCAAGCTCCCCATCATGCATTTTCCCGTCAAAGTCTTCTGACATCTCAATGGCATTGTCCTCGCCCTTAATATCAGATTTTGAGTCTGGATCCTCTTTATCCTTTTCTTGACCCTTCTGAAATGTATCTTCTGCCTACACAAAAAGCATTACAGGAAATATAAATGAATGTTCTCACTTTACTAACGCATATGCCTAAACAAACAGTGAACAGGCACTTAGGTTCTGTACATCTTACACAGATTTTGTACACATAAAAACGTACCTGTTCTTCATTTTCTATCTGGTCACTCACATCCTTCATGCCCTCGCCTTCTCCAATTCCACCTCCCTCATAGTCATGGAACTCAGTTGCCCCCTCTCCTGCTGAATCATCCATGAATTCTTTGGGCAAGCAAAATCCCTTCAGAAAATGGAGGGAACAGTTAGGCACAAAAGTAATAAAAAGAGGGATTTCCTTTCTATTCCTGCCACAGGAATAAAGAAAATTTAAACAAATGCTTAATTCTTTTCCTAGTGGAGGATGTGAAATCTGATGAAAGCACAGTAGACCACTGCCATCTTTTTCCTCCTTTGTGACAGCAGTTGTTTCTAGGCTTGACATAAGATTTAACATATGGGGTTTTGACTTGTAGAGGCCTCTGGTGTGTGGTAATTTGTCATTTTGCCAAGACAAAAATTTGAAGTATACTGGAAGGGCAGTGTATTTAGAAGCAAGTCAACTGACTGAGGGCAAAACCTCACTAAATCTCAAAGGGGTTTTGTACTTCTCTATTCACTTCTCAAATCAGTCCTTCTGAGAGGAGAGAAGAAAGCACAAGAACATGTAACCAACCCTGGAGATGCGCAGCTTGGAACAGATACAAGTGGGAAATATCGTTTTTACTTTAAAAATTGAAGAAAATGTTGTGTGATGCTCCCCATATAAAATAACACCCTCCCTCGATGCCTTAAGTAAACCTGTCATTCCTCAGCAAACATAGCATGTTTGGCTTCTGGCTATTTGTTGCCAAGGCACTTGGTACACTGACAAAAGGCAGATGGACGGCAGGCTGAAGAACTCATCACACACAGGAACACCCGTGAGGTGCGGCAAAGCTGTTTGATGTTGGAAACAGCCCAAAAGAAATCAACCACTAAGGCTTAGAAGGACCTCTGGTAGCATAGTGCCTAAGGCATTTGACTGCTAACCAGAAGGCTGGCGGTTCAAACCCACCAGCCACTCCTCGGAAGGAAGGTTGGGCAATCTACTTCTGTAGTGCTACTGCCTTGGAAACCCAAGGAGGGGTCGCTATGAGTCGGGTCCGACTCGACAGCACATGACAACAGTGCTTGGACAGACCTGAACAGAAGAAAGCAGTGGCTCTCAATGCAGAATTTTAAGTTTATAAGGCATCTGACTGCTAACCAGAAAACTGGTGGCGCAAATCCACCAGCTGCTCCTTGGAAGGAAGATTGGGCAATCTATTTCTGTAGTGATATAACCTCGGAAACCCAAGGAGGGGTCACTATGAGTCAGACTCAATGGCAATGAGTTTGGGTTTTTTTTTTGGTAAGAGAAACTAGTCTATCAAGATATTTGTCAAACTGAGGATGAGAAGGTACTAAAACTAAACTACCAAGAAACAAAGAATACCTAAGACCATCAAACACTGACTGTGACTTAGTTATACAGAAACAGATTTCTGTAGATTAAGCGCTTTAATTATAATCTGCAGCTGTTACCTTAGCATTGGGTTTAACTTCAAGTTCCCTCAGCACTACTAAGGTTATGAATACAATTAAATACCACTGACATAGAGTCTATTCTGATCCATAATGACCCCCACTGGGTTTCCAAGAAGGTAAATCTTTATGGAAGTAGAGTGCCCCATCTTCCTTTTGCGGAGCAGCTGGTAGGTTTGAAGCATCAACCTTCTGGTTAGCAGTCAAATGCCTTAGGCACTGTACCACCAGAGCTCCTCATGAACACAATTAGGAGACTTAAAAAAAGTAAAACTTACTTTCAGGATTTGTACTCCTGGAAAGTTGATTAGAAAGCACATTTTGGTTAACTTAATTAATTTCCATGATTTTAAGAAGTCAGTTCAGATGTGGACAGAGGAGTGAGAGCATGCAGGAAGGAGCTTCAGATGCCTTTCTACATCCACATCACTGCAATAGGTACAACTGGAACAGTGCCCGGGCTTCCAACATTCTGCTTGTATCAGAACCACTTCCACCCCAAATGTCCAATAAGCCAAAGTCACTCTAGAGCCTATCAGACAAGAGCAACAATGCAAGCAGACAGATACAGCTGACACAAATCTCAAGGCTCCCTCACCATACATTACCCTGCCACTGTCTTTTACATGCAGTTTTCTTCAAAAAATGATGGGATATAATACTGGATCAGTGTCCATCAGATAGGGCAAATACGAGAGTCATTCATTTACTTAATACTGCACAGATACACATATGTATCCAGTGCCTTTAAATGAGCTTACCCCCATCCTTAAACCATTTCCAGTATTTCAGAGGATCAAAACCAAGAAGTCTTGACTATCTACAAGAAGCCAGACTCCACCTTCAGTTTATAAATTCATTTTCAGTAAGTAACTCTCATTTATATTATACTTAAACAACAACAACAAAAAAAACTCATTGTCATTAAGTTGATTCATATTTATGGTGACTCCATGCATTACAGAGTAGAACTCTTCCACAGAAGTAGACAGCCAGCCCTTTCTTCCACAGTGCTGCTGAGTGTGTTCAAGGCACCTTTAGGTGAGTTTCAAGTGCAATTGTTTGTGCCACTAGGGAGCTTCACTGTACTTAAGAGTTGGAGAAATTATTAAAATAGTAAGGAAATAGAAAACAAACAAAAAACAATATACTCAATTGAAAATGGTTCTTGCAAACATGCTAAGGAATATAGGCAGACCTCATTTTATAACTGAGAAAACTGAGGTTCAGAGAGGTCAAAGGACTAACTCTGAGACCAAGAAGTAGACAGACATCCCTATGACTGGACTTATCACACCACATTGGGTTTGGCAGATATGACTGCCTCCTGCTCCTGAATTTTAAGGGTCTACAATCTCTACAACATCAGTGCTTTTCACAGCACTGGATATACGGCTAAATGAATGAACAACTTCCCTATTAAAAGAAAAACTCTCCTCATAGCACTAAGATCCATAGTACCATTTAATCATAATTATATGTAAATGGTTTAAAGAAAACTTAATAGCCTTCAGGACTTATTCTGTAAGTCTAGCTCAGAGCTATCTGAAGAAGATTTCAAATTGGGGACTGTGAGAGAAGGTTATTAGACAGCAGAAGCTTTCAGATGCTATCTGGGGTTTATGGAACTCAATGGGTTTGCAGTTCTAAGGCTGTGGTGGAAAAGTGCTTAGAAAATAGGTACCAGACAAAGCTCAAAAGAATCCACAGGGAGAATAAATCACATCTCACTATTTTATCAAGGCTCAAAATAAAAACCCATCAAACCAAAACACTGAGTATTGAATATTTGGGTTTCTGTTGACAGCACTCCAAGTGAACAGTCTTTACCTTCTGGGCAAGCTCCGTAAAGACCTGGGCAAGCACTGAAAGCAGCTTCGTGGTGCTACGGTGAATTGCCAAAGACATGGTCAGGAAGAAGAGGATGAGGTCCGAGTACCTGGAGAGCATGGGGGCCAGGCGCACCAACAGGCAACAGGACTGGCTGAAGACCTGGAGGCAAAACAGGACCACAAAGCCTGCTTACACTGACGAATGGGCACAGGGCTTTTTGGGGGTGATAATATTTTGGAACCAGACAGTGCTGATGGGTGCATAACACTGTGAATAAACTAAATGTCACTAACAGTAAATTTTCTGTGTATTTATGTCCATACACACCCATCCCACCCACCCAAAAAAACCCTGCTCATTGAAATCTCTTCCTTGTTCACACAAACCTGCAGAAAAGTATACTTGAAGGGCTCAGTCACTGGAGTCTCCTTTAGTTTACAGGAGTTTTGTTGTTTGCTTAAATAAAATGTTTGTACGTAAAGTCTACTGGGAAATCAACAGCCGACAATGAAGCCAATGCCACAGAATAAAATACAATGTATTACAAAAGAAGTCCTTTCCCTGGACTTATGAGGATGCCACGTCTCGCTCTGCTGGCTCACTGTGCAAGGAACAGTGTCTGCAGAGGACGGCCAGTAAGCCTTGGTTAGGGCAACAGCATTCACCGTTTACACAAAATACCTGGGATCGGTGAGTAGGATATGCAAGAATCCTAAGATATAGGATTACCAGAATTTTTGCACTTGTGTATCTGACAATCGTAACCCTTAGTTAGTAAACTCTATGCTTTTCAAAGCTATCACTGGTATTTTCTTGTACAAAATAGATCAAATTCTTCGTCATTCTGACTCAGGCCCGCTTTGGAAGCCATTCATGTGGAGCAAGGTGAAGCCCACTGTGCCTCTGCTCAGGCCACTCGGGACAGTAAGAAGCTTGCAAAGAATGATGGTTAGTTACCGTGTGCTTTGCTGCTGTGCCATCCTCACCGTACGACTTCAGCCTCTCCAACAGCTCGGAGACAGCAGAAATTATCTTCTGCACATGCAATGTGCCCACGTCGGCCCAGAAGTCATCCTCTAAGAGTTTTGACAGATGTCCTGATTGAAGTTTCTCAAAGGCTGGTGCTTCTTTAATTCAAGAAAAGAATGTCATGAAGAACAGAAAATAAACTCTTCATCTCTATTTATGCACAGTCCTCTATTTTCAACATCTGTCCTTAAGTATTTAGTCATAGAAATAAGGCAGCAAATAAAAAAATTACATCAATTATGACACTAAAGTTAATCTCATTTCAGACATACCAGCGTCTTCTCGTGGTCTCATTTGTTCAGTGCTCTCTGCTTTTCTGCTGTTTCTTTCTGCTAAATTCTGGACAGCACAGAGGGTGGCACGGATGGCCATTTCCATCTGCTCTGAAAAATCTTCTATAAATCCTTCATCAAACATTTGGTCTCCTAGCAAATAAAATGGTGGCCCCCCCCCCACAAAAAAAAATTTACTATCAATTGCTTTGGTGTCTCTAGAAATCAGTAACAATCCCTATATAACAATCCTCTTTGTTATTCTAAACAACAGCTACCTATTCAGTAACTACTATGGATGAGGCACTATGTCAAACAGTACTGGATACAAAGATGAGTGAGACACACTCTTTGCCTAGAGAAGTTTATTGTTTTGTACTAAAAATCATTTTGCCAGAAGAATGCCAAAGATATGAAAATAGTAGTTAATATTGTGTATAGCCAACTTAGTCCAAATATCAGCCTTGAGCTTCTCAGTCTATGGGAAGACTGCCTGGACAGACAAGTGAGTCTGTGCTGCCTCTTGGCACATACCGTACACAAAATATGCAGCATGATGACAGCTGATGGCATGATATTCAAAGAAATGAGGCAAAAAGTTAAGAGCTGTGGATTCCAACCCCACCTCCCTTGACAGACACTGCCCTAAGAAAACATAACGTGTCTTGAGGACTTAAATCTGGAAGATAACATTCCTAAGTTAGACTTTTACTCCCTTACTGAGGAACGGTCCTTACCTCTGTGGTTACCTGGAGTGAGTAGATGTGTCTTCCAGATAGTAAAGTCAGCTGAGGCTTTATTGATTTCTCCTCTTACATATTTTAGACTCTCAACTAATGCCATTTGTGGGTCCATTTGTTCAACCTCCAACCCTGGAAGAGTGAACAAGGACTCTAGGCCTTGCAAATGAGCTGACACCTGGGAGAGGCAACTCAGCCCAGAAGAGCAAACTTCAAAATCTTTCCTGCAACAACAAAAATGTCATACTGTTGAAAGAAGGGGCTGTAAGAAAACAAGAAAAACAAAAACTAAATTAAAAAACACAGAGCTTCCTGGAGTACCTAAAATGCATGGCAGGAAAAGCCCATTATATATACCTAGAGATACTCCACAAAGCATTTTCTGGTCCAGTGACTAGTGGAGGACTGAACCATAATTCCTTCCATAAACTTTATCCTGTTACTAAACTCTGACCAAGCACTTAAGTATACAGAGGACGAATAAAGACACTTACCAAGAATGAAAGAGAGTCTCACAAGACTGCTGCCTAATTTTGTCAAGATCAGCTTTCACTGTTTTAATATTTTTCAGCATCTCTGTTAATTGTGCAGTTGACTGTTGCCAAAGTTGGTCCTGTTTTTGCATCCGACAACCAGAGGGCAGCTGATTTCCAGGCATCGGGGATGGGTAGGTAAAATCTAGTGGAATGAGGTCTGGCACTGCTCCAGAGAGCTGCCCAGTAGTAAGTTCTTGTCCTTCTAGGTGGGGAGCAGAAGGCTGGCCTTGTGCCTGGGCGTCATCACAGCCTGGAGCTGGCCTGGCACTGGGGCAGCACTGGAGGAACCAGGAGAGCTGCTCAAGGAGGATCTGGCTCTGCATGGCCAGGTGCTGCAGCCTCTCCGTCCACTGCTGCACACCATCCTGAGGGGGGAAGGCCACGGGGTAGACCAGGGGCCCTGTCAGCCTGCTGTCAATCTCCTGCACACAGCTGAGGAGGTTCCTGTGGAGAGAAACCATGGGGGGGTACACAATAATCCCTTAAACCATGTCATCAGGCTGTATTTTATAGTAAATTAGTTGGTGTATTTCTGAGCCAAGCATGAGCTTTTATGCCCTAATTAAGAAGGGAAGATTCCCCAGGTAAGTAAGAAGTCTTCTAAAATGCCTCCCAAAGCACACCTGTCAGTCTTTCATAAATATATTGAAACTCACTGCTTCTCACGTAAGACTTACTTACTCTCTTATCTAACACACTCATACCATTGCAATGATTTCAATCACTTATTTAAAAAAAAAAAAAACAACTTAATAAATATACTGTAGTTTGCTAGATAAACCCTAATGAATTCAGCAGAGTATAGCTGATGCCAAAGCAATCAGTCTGGAAATTCTATATGTCAGCCAAGAATCCATTCAACAAATGATAATATCCCTCATCTTCATCCTTTAAACATCTGTTTCCATTGAGGAACATCATGTATGGCTCACCAAATCACCACTTAGTGACCATTTTGTGACCCAAAGCCTAATAAACAGAAATAGACTCAAATCTCATCTATGCCACAGAAACCGGATGCCCTCATGCTACACACACAACCCCATCTGTCAGTCCACACAGACTTTCAACACAAGTGTCCCCATTTCAGACCCAAGTAGGGATATAGTTCAGTCATGACAATTTACTGTCTTCCACAGCTCTGAACTGATTCCACAGGCCCCATTCACCTAGGAGTCATTGCCAGGGTTGTTGTTGTTGTTGTTGTTATGTGCCATCAAGTCAGACCCGACTCACAGCGACCCCTCCTTGGGTTTCCGAGGCGGTATCACTACAGAAGTAGATTGCCCAACCTTCCTTCTGAGGAGTGGCTGGTGGGTTTGAACTGCCAGCCTTCTGGTTAGCAGTCAAGTGCCTTAGGCACTATGCTACCAGAGCTCCCATTGCCAGGGTAGAGGGTAGAAACATATTACCACAGGTTTTTCTTACCAGGACACAGAACACTTATGAAAAGCAATGGGCAAAGCCAAGAGAAATCCATTGCCCGCCCAAACACCACCTGCCTCTGGGGGCCTCAGGTGTCACTTCATGATTCTCTGAACCATAACAAGCAACTCTGAGCTGACTTACATGTCTTCCTAGTTCATGCCACAAACCCAACCAGTCAGAGGATACCTGAGGATGATCCACTGCTCAGTCAGTGTGGTCAGAGAACGCCGTTGTCTGATAAGCATCTTCATCAAATGGGCAGAGAACCCTTTACACCGTTCAACATTGCCCAAGCCCATCTCCTGGAATGGGGGAAAGAAGAGCATGCTAAAGGTGCTGCCAGCAACCACCAGCTAGAGACACACTAGAAAGCTCTGCTGTGGAACACTCTCCAGAAGAGTCCCTCATCTGCATGAACTTCAGATGTCCTGCATCTAAAAATGACACACCTGTCTTTTTAAGCAATGGATGTCAAGTTATGCTACCACAGTATATTCACGTTCATGATATTCCATGAATAGAAAGGAGGTTTAACCACCAAACTGGATATTAGTGGTCTTTCCTCAGTTTACATAAAGATTTACAGGTGGCATTTTCTCCTTTGAAGTTTTCCGTCCATAATTATTCTTATAGTTTTTCCATATGCAAGTGTGTGTAAGAGAATTTAATAAAAGATGCTCTCTGACTTAGCACAAAATTATGACTTATATTTTAAGTTTAATGGTGTCCTGCAAAGACCAGTTATTTCTACTAATGGGCCACTATCACCTAACAAGGTCTGTGAATCCTGCCCTGGGATGAATCAAACTACTTTTCAGAGGGTATAGCGTTCTACCTTGACAGGGGTTGCTAGGGCTGCATTAAGCCTGGAGTGCCGTGCAAGACAGCGATAAAAATATTTCTGGCATCCATCCCACGACGATGAAATTTCTGTAAGCAGCCTGGAGAAGAAATCAACATGATTTACTAAATTCAAACTATAATCTCCCACTCCAGATCTCGAAGATTCAGAGATTGGTACATTTGGCCACAACCAAAAGCCAAGAGTCTAAATAGATTTATTTCTTTGAGGGCTTATTCAGTCCGCCACTTATCAGCCCTTTATACAGAAGATGTAGTGAATACTTAGCACTGGCAGTATAGTGAAGAAGTAAATTATGACACCAATATGGTTTCCTTAATGAAAACTTTATAAAGATTGTGGCAGTGGAGGCTAGGGATAATAAATTCTGTTGCCTACAGGGGATAGGCAGATAGCGTAAATGATTAAAGACAGCCAAGAGCAAGATAAAAAATGGCAGTGACAACTGGCCTCTATATAAGGGAAGAAAGAAGGGGGTTGAGGACAATAGTGAATGACAGAATATGTGCCTTGTTGACAGGAGGGAGGTACTACTCTGCTATAGGCAACTACTGACCCAACAGGAATGAGAGCCCACTGATGAAATTTTCCCAAAAATGAAAATCTAGAATATTCATGTAAAATTTCCCCTTTTCACATTGAATTCAGATTTAAAGCACTAAGAGAGACCATTAAGACAAAAAAAAAAAAAAAAAAAAACCCCATACACACAAATGTTTGCTGTATCTAGTGCACACAAATCATCATTTATAATCTCTTCTGCAGCTATTAACTTAAAGGTTTATGGGTGCTCAAATTCAAAACTCCTGGAAATTATAAGGAGTACAGATGAAACTGCCAAGAATGTGGCTATTCTCTCAGTTTCATCTACACATTCAAAGTAAATGGGGAGGCCTCAGGGACATCAAAAGATGCAAGAAAACAATGGTGGATGAAGAGGAAAAGGAAAGAGAATAAAATGAACACTTACTGAATGGTCACCCTGTGCCAAGTCCTGAGCCAGGCACTTTTTGAAATGTTATCTTTCTTAATCTTTTACAACGGTGCTGTGAAAGAGTTACTGCTTTCCACATTTTGGTAAATAAGGACACGGAGGCTTAAATTACCTGGCTCCATGTATATTAAAAGACAAACCTAGAATCAGCCTCCTGAGTGTCGATGACTATAGACAACGCGCTCCGGAGATCTAATGGGTGAAGATGAAGCATCTCTTGGGGGTTTTTCAAACGAGCCCAGGCAAGACCTTTGCGATATGACAAACCTAGGAAATAAACAACATTAGTTTAAGGAAGGAAGGCCTGGTGGCACAGTGTTTAAGTACTTGGCTGCTAACCTACAGGTCAGCAGTTCAAACCCACCACTGGCTCTGTGGAAGAAAGATGTGGCATTCTGCTTCCATAGAGATTATATCGTTGGAAATCTTATGGAGCAATTTTTCTACTCTGTCTGACAGTGCCACTATGAGTCAGAATCAATGGCAATAAGTTTTTTGTTATTTAGTTTAAGGAAAGACACTTGCAGCTAGAACAGACATGTCCCACCCCATGCCCTTTGTTGTCACCGTTAAGTGCCATGGAGTCAGCTCCGACTCACAGCAACCCTATGTACAACAGAACAAAACACTGCCCAGTCCAGCACCAGCCTCACAATCCTTGTTACACCTAAGTCCATTGTTGCAGCCACTGTATGGATCCATCTAATTGAGGGTCTTTCCCCTTTTCATTGACCCTCCACTTTACCAAGCCTGGTATCTTTCTCTAGGGAACGGTCCCTTCTGATACACGACCAAAGTAGGTGGGATTAAGTCTGGCCATTCTCACTTCCATGGAGCATTCCAGCTGCACTTCTTCCAGGATAGATTTGTTAGTTCTCCTGGAAGTCCATGGTACTTTCAGCATTCTTCGCCAACACAACTCAAAAGCATCAACTCTTTTTCAGTTTTCCTTTTTCAACTTTTTTATTTTTGCAGTATTCCCTCTCCTTCAGTCCTCCTTTTTCAGTGTCTAACCTCCACATGCACATAAGGTGAATGAAAACACCATGGCTTGGGTTAGGTGCACTTTAGTCTTCAAAGAGACATCTTTGCTCTTCAGCACTTTAAGGTCATTTGCAGCAGATCTGCCCAGTGCAATACATCATCTGATATTTTTGACTACTGCTCTTGTTGGTGCTGATTGTGGAAACAAGTAAGATGAAACCTTTGACAACTTCAATTTTTTTCTCCATTTATCATGATGCTGCTTATTGGTCCAGTTGTAAAGATTTTCATTTTCTTTATATTGAGGCATAATCCATACTGCAGACTGTAGTCTTTAATCTTCAGCAGTAAGTGCTTCAAGTCATCTTCACTTTTAGCAAGCGAGGTTGTCCCATCTGCATATCACAGGCTGTTAAATGACTTTCTCCAATCTTGATGCCTCATTCTTCTTCATATAGTCCGGCTTCTTGGATTATTTGTTCAGCACACAGAGTGAATAAGTATGGTGAGAGGATACAACCCTGATACACTCCCTTCCTGATTTTAAACCATGCAGTATCCTCTTGTTCTGTTTGAACGACAGCCTCCTGGTCTATGTACAAATTCCTCAATAGCATAATTAAGTGTTCTGGAATTCCCAAGCTTCTCAATGTTATCCATAATTTGTTATGATCCACATAGTCAAATGCCTTGGCATAGTCGATAAAACACAAGTAAACATCTTTCTGGTTATCTTTGCTTTCAGCCAAGCTCTATCTGACATCAGCAATGATATCCCTCGTTCCACGTCCTCTTCTGAAACCAGCTTGCATTTCTGGAAGTTCCCTGTAAATATACTGCTGCAACCGTTTGTGAATTATCTTCAGCAAAATTTTACTCACATGTGGTTTTAATGATATTGTTCAATACTTTCCACATTCTCTGGGATCACCTTTCTTTGGAATGGGTACAAATGTGGATTTCTTCCAATCAACTGGCCAGGTAGCTGTTTTCAAATTTCTTGGCACAGACAAGTAAGTACCTCTAGCACGGCATCCATTTGTTGAAACATCTCAATGGGTATCCTGTCAATTCCTGGAGCTCAGTAGCTTCAGTGCACCTTCAACCAATTCTTTTTGGTACGGTGACTCTGTATATTCCTACCATCTACTTTTGATGTTTTCTGCATTATTCAGTATTTTGCCCATAGAATCTTTCAATATTGCAACTTGAGGCATGATTTTTTTCTTCAGTTCTTTCAGCTTGGAGAAATGCAAAGCGTATTCTTCCCTTTTGGTTTTCTAACTACGTCCCTGCACATTTCATTGTAATAACTGACTCTGTCTTCTTGAGCTGCTCTTTGAAACCTTCTGTTCAGCTCTTTTACCTTGTCAGTTCTTCCATTTGCTTTAGCTACTCTCTGTTCAAGAGCATGTTTCTGAGTCTCTTTTGACTTCCACTTTGGTCTTTTCTTCCTCTCCTGTCTTTTTAACAATCTTCTGTTTTCTTCATGTATGATGTTCTTGATGTCATCCCACAATTCACCTGGTTTTCGGTCACTGGTGTTCAATGTGTCAAATCTATTCTTTAGGTGGTCTCTAAATTCAGGTTGGCAAAATCAAGGTCATAATTTGGCTCTTGTGGACTTCTTTTAATCTTCTTCAGCTTCAACTTGAACTTGCATACGAACATTTGATGGTCTGTTCCACAGTCAGCTCCTGGCTTTGTTTTGGCTGAAGATATTGAGCTTCTCCGTTGCCCCTTTGCACAGACATAGTAGATCTGATTCCCATGTATTCCATCTGGTGAAGTCCATGTGTATAGCCACCATTTATGTTGTTGAAAAAGGTATCTGCAATGAATAAATCATTGGTCTTGCAAAATTCTATCATGAGATCTCCAGTGTCATTTCTATCACCAAGACCATATTTTACAACTACTAGTGATTCTTCTTTGTTTCCAACTTTTGTATTCCAACCACCAGCAATCATCAACATATCTTTATTCCATGTTTAGTCAATTTCAGATGCAGAAGCTGATAAAAATCTTGAATTTCTTTGTCTTTGGCTTTAGTGGTTGGTGTGTAAATTTGAGCAACAGTAGTATTAACTTGTCTTCCCTGTGCCTTGTTAAAGTGCATCTGCAGATGCTGCAGATGGTATAAAGCATGTAATAACGAAAATAAAAATATGGATTCTGAGAACTCAAATTACATTGGATACATACGGATATTATCCTATCACTGACAGCACTGTATTCAGGACAAATCTTGAAACATTCTTTGTGACGATAAATGCCACACCATTCCTCTTCAATATGTCATTTCCAGCACAGCAGATCATACAATTGCCTGATTCAAAATGGCCAAAACCAGTCCATTTCAGCTCACTAATGCCTAGGATATCGATCTTTATGTGTTCTATTTCATTTTGACACAACTTCCAATTTTCCTAGATTCATACTTCGTACGTTCCATGTTCTGATTATTAATGGATGCTTGCAACTGCTTCTTCCCATCTCGAGTCATGCCCCAAATGGAGGTCCTGAAAGCTTTACTCCATTCTCGTCATTAAGGTCAACCCTACTTTGAGGAGGCAGCTCTTCCTGTCATATTGTGACTGCTTTCCGACCTGAGGGGTTCACCTTCCAGCACTGTATCAGACAAAGTTTCAGAGAGTTTCATGAAGTTTTCCAGTAATATTATCAGACAGTGCTTCACTGCTATTACTATAAGATTTTCACTGGCCAATTCTTTAAGAAGTGGATGGCCCCTTCCTTCCTCCAAGTCTGTCTTCGTCTGGTAGCTCTGCTGAAAATGTCCACCATGGGTGACCCTGCTGGTATTTGAAATACCAGTGGCATAGCCTCTAACATCATAGCAACACACAAGCCACCACAGTACAACAAACTGACAGACGAGCGGTGGCCATGCCCTTTACTTTATTCAAAGTCAAGTCCTTTGAAACAGCTTATCTGGGGGCTTAATAGAAATGCATCCCTCATCTACTAGAAGAGAATTTGCAGCTGCACTTTTAACAGGTGTGTGCTATGTTCTTTAAATGTGAGAAGCACTGCTTTTTTTTCTTTTACTGCATTAGAGGTTAGGTGCTATAAAGTATATAATAATGAAAATAAAAACATGGATTCTGAGAATGTGAATTACAAAACTGTGAAACTATGTGGGGTTCATAAATGGCTTATTGTATGATTTATGCATGTTTGATTAGAATTCTTGGAATGGCATTTCAAAACTCCGTCTGCCTTTTTGACAATGGATTCTTAGATATGACACTAAGAGCACAAGGAACAAAAGACAAAATAGACAAATTGTACCTCATCAAAATTAAACACTTTGCAATTCAAAGGACTTTATGTAAAAAGTAAAGAAAGAAAGAGTCTGCAGAACATATCTGTTAAACATTTAATGTTTAAAATATAGAAAAAACTCTCATAATGTAATAAGAGAAGACCAAAAAAACTCAATCAAAAAATGGGCAAAGGACTTGGACTATGTATTTCACTAAAAATAAATAAATAGCCAGTAAAGCACATGAAGGGAGCTCCAGTGGCATAGTGCCTAAGGCACCTGACTGCTAACCAGAAGGGTGGTGGTTCAAACCTTCCAGGCACTCCTTGAAAGAAAAACTGGGCAATCAACCTCTATAGAGATAGCACCTTGGAAACCCAAGAAGGGGTTCCTATGAGTCAAATCAAATCAACGGCAGTGAGTTTGGTTTTTTGGAAGCACATGAAAAACGCTAAGCTTCAACAGGGAAATGCAAATCAAAACTGTAACAAGACACCACTTTACATCTACCAGGATAGATTTTATCAAAAAAATGGAAAACAGTAAGTGTTGAACAGGATATGGAAAAACTAGAATTCTGTCTGTACTACTGGTGAGAATGTAAAATACTCAACTGCGGTGCAAAACAATTTGGTGGGTCCTCAAAAAGTTGAACCCAGAATTACCATGTTGTTGTTGTTGTTATTTGCCATCGAGTTGGCCCCACTCATAGAGACCCCTCCTTGGGTTTCCGAGGCAGTATCACTACGGAAGGAGGATTGCCCAACCTTCCTTCCGAGGAGTGGCTGGTGGGTTTGAACCGCCAGCCTGCTGGTTAGCAGTCAAGTGCCTTAGGCACTATGCTACCAGAGAACTACCATACGACCCAGTAATTCCACTCCTGGTTCTAAATCCAAAAGTCTGAGAAGCTGGAACTCAAACAGATACCTGTACATCAATGTTTGCTGCAGAATTATTCTCAGTAGCCAAAAGGTAGAAACAACCCAAGTGTCCATCAAGAAATGAATGGATAAATAAAATATGGAATAAGGAGCTCTGGTGGCATAGTGCCTAAGGCATCTGACTGCTAACCAGAAGGTTAGCAGTTCACATCAACCAGCCACTCCATGGAAGGAAGATGAGGCAATCTACTTCCATAAAGATTTACCACCTCAGAAACCTAAGGGGGCTGCTATGAGTCAGAATCAACTCAATGGCAGAGAGTTTGGTTTGTTTTTGAGTTTATACCCACGTAAAGGAATATTATTCCACTATGAAGAGAAATGAAGTTCTGATACATCATACGACATGCACGACCCTCGGAAACGTGCTAAGTGAAATAAGTCAGACACAAAAGGCAAATATTGGATGGTTCCATTTGTATAAAATGTCCAGAATATGCACACGCACAGAGACCAAAGTTTATTAGTGGTTACCAGAGACGGGTGGGAGGGGGAGATGGGGAGTTACTGCTTCAGGGGTACTGAGTTTCTGTGAAGAGTGAGGAAAAAAATTGGAAATGGATAGTGGTGATAGTCACACAACATGCTGAATGTAATTAACATCACTGAATTGTATACATAAAAGTGGATGAAATGGCAAATGTTCAGTTACACTATGTATTATTTTAGCACAATAAAAGTTTAAAAACAACAAAAAACGCTGCCTGCCACCTTCTGTTTTCAAGCCTTACCAGTGTCTGCAAGGTGTTTAAAGAGGTCTGATAAAGCTCGCTGCTTCTGCATGAGAATGTGCTTGGCTTCTGAACACTGCTTCTCCTTCTCAGCGGAGGGCTCCACCTTTAAACTCTGCAGCTCAGTCACAGAGGCAATTACTTCACCTAAGAGGTAACAAAGAAATTCCACAGGCTTATTAATGTGTTTATATTATCCAAGACCAGGCACCTTTTGAAGAACAAGCACCATGTGTCATTTATCTTTCTGTCCAGGGCACCTCACACAGGCTTTTTTGGTATTTTGGTAAAGTGTTTGAACTCAAGGATTGAGATGCATGGAAATAAAAAAATAAAAACACGAAGGATTCAAGATCTCTTAACAATAAACAACCCAAATAAAAGTGGGTACTCTTCTTTACTTTGGGGTCTTATATTCAATCAAGCAAAATGAACTTATTGAGCACCAATGTACTGTATTATACTAAAACTGTTCCTGTTAATAACGTGAACTAATTTTCTGGTAAATATGTATTGAGCTCCTATACTGTACCCAGTACTTGGCAGATGTCCTTTCAATTTCTACAACAATTCCATAAGCACTTATCTGTAGCCCCATTTTACAGACTGTAAAGTCTAGTCACTTTCTAGAAACTTTTCTGTCTTTAGAAGAATGGATGAGCCAAGACTTGAACCCTGGCCTACCTATCATGCTCCCTTTCTGAATTCACATGGGGCCTACAGAATAAGGGGCCTGCCCACCTACCACAGGAAGTCACCGGAGGAAAGCCAGCCTACTGCAGCACCTTACACTGACACTGTGTGACAGCGAGAGAAGAGAATACGTTCGACATTATGCTGTGTGCCCTTCCCAGAAGATGCACATGGGGTCTGCATTCCACTCACCCTCATCATCAGGCTCAGGCAGGTCACCTTGAGTAATAGATACCAGGTTGCTGCTCTACGAACTTTTAAACATAGAGAGACCAGACTAGCTTCCGTACGGAGGACCAGCTTTTCTGTGACACCACTCTGATTACGGGGACAGAAGGGAGTGTCAAGGGCTCAAACCACCTTAGGTTCTAAACTCCCTGCTCTGCCTTTGCTCTGTTACAATACAGAGCAGACCTTGGCTCTCATCTTTCCTAAGGAGATACAGCCAAGGAGATGAAACTGCTATACCTCTCTAAAGTGGAGGAAGCAAGAAGAGGTCTGTGAGTGAACCTTCCCTTTCCATTAACTCAAGGGAGACAAAATTTTAAGATGTGGGGACAGCTTAGACTCTGGGAGAACCAGCTCTCTGCCCCTCTACCCGTGTCCCTAGCAGAGAGGTCTAATGTAGAAACTGGAGTATTACTAGCTTACATGAGAGAGAAAAAATGAAAATTATGCTAATTTCTGAGGTCTCAGCTGTCCCCTTTGTCTGGGCTCTACTAGTTTCTAACCCATCTACTTATTCAATTAACTGCTCAACACTACTCAGTTGTCAAGAAAAGGACATACAAAATACATTCCTGCCCTCCTGGGCCACCCTTGCCCTGGCTGCCGGCACCCACCAGTGAACTGATCGAGGCTCTCCACGAGGTGTGGCAGGGGGCTCTCCTTCATGAACGTCAGGCATATCTTCCTCATTCGTTTCAAGAGCTTTGGCAAGCGACTCAGAAGTTCGCCCTCTGAGGGAAAAGGAGCAACACCCTGACACTGTTCTGGAATCATGGCCTACAAAACAGAACACAAGTTAATCACTGCCAAGAACGACACTTACCTCTAACCTTCTAACCTGCAAAGATGTTAATTTAAATGCCATGCCCCCACACCCAGCTCAGCAAACATTAAATTCCTGTGTTACCAACTCTGAAATCTCCTGAGTACAAACATAGTGTTACTAAAATTAATACAGGCATGCACCACGGATATTTAAAAAACTGTATTCTTACTCCGTATGTGGTCACTTTAGTAGAAAAGTACCCCTTCCAGTCCCTAGCCCCAGACAAGTCTTTCTATGCTAGTCAGAGGAAACTCCAGTTCTGATCTATGAACACAGCAGGATGAATAACAACTGTTGTCCTTAAGACGCCAAGCTGCACTGTGCTTCTCAAAACCACAAGGGAAAGAAAATAAATCAATCTGCCAAATTCTACTTCTACTTCCACTTTCTCCTACCCCCCAATTCCTGATTAACATTTCAAGTATCAGAAGTCCAGATACTAGATAAAAGGAAAGACCTTTTATCCATCAGAGGCATATTTTCATTGTTTTTTTTTCTTGAAGAATTCCTGAAATTTCTATGCTGTCATCAATAGCAAACCAAATTTTTGGTCAACGTGACAAATATAGTTTAAAGAAAATAAACTTGGCAGCCATGTCGTATCTCTATAGCTGTATGTTACACACTCAATTTCTAGTATACTTTCTGAGCTATTAAAATATTAAAGAGCTCGAGGACCTCCATTACTCACTCTATGAACCCCAGATTGGGAAGTTCAGTTAGAAGGCAAAGAGATCACTTCCTTGAACAATACTCCTCAACCATGGAGTTCTCAATACCTAATCACATGTAGCAGGAGCATGTCTTCTGTAACAGACCTGCTCACCCAAAGGTGCTGACTTTCAAATGTTCAGGAATTTTGCCAGTCTGCTTTTAGCTATGGGTACTTAAAAGGAGACATAATGGGCCTATTTATACCACAGTAATTAGCAAACACTACAACCCAGCACCACTGCATACATCTGCCCCCTGCACAGCCCAAAGGCAGCTTCTAATCTCCCTCACAGATTGATACAATGTTCCCAGGTTAGCAAAAAAATTATTTCCTATAACCTAAACTTTTAGCACAAAGGCTAATGTTTTTCTCTTATTCTGCAGGGAAGTCAGACAAACAAACAAATGCTATATACGCGCAAAAAGTAGTATTTCAAAGGCATTTCCTTATCTAGTTCGAAGGAGAACGCTTAGTTATAAAACGTAGATTCCATCTGCCTGGCTTAGAAAAGAAACACTATCCCATGAACTGATACCTGTCCAGCCGCTGGCCGTGCCAACAAGGTCTCCCTCAGTGCTTTGTTCAGCCTTTGAATGGGAGACGGGTCACTTGTGGCTGCATCAGTTGGCCCAGGCCAAAAGTCAGACTGTTCCTCTTTGTCATTCTCCACCAGGCATGATCGGCAAGGTTCACTTAGCACAGCTTCAAATTTCTTCATGAATTTAAAGAGGGTCCTGACCCCAGGTAATGAGAGATAACAAGAAAAAATTGAATGCAAAGTAAAGAAATTAAAAAGTACAGTATAATGCATATACATATATACACAATCTCACCCATTTATAGATATAGATATATATAAATATATAAAGCTGAGAACAAAGTAGGATCACTCTGCTCAAAGTAAAACAGATAACTGGTGATAGAAGACTTAATCCTTCTATAGATATAGATATATATAAATATATAAAGCTGAGAACAAAGTAGGATCACTCTGCTCAAGGTAAAACAGATAACTGGTGATAGAAGACTTAATCCTTCTATAGCATGTAACCTACTTTTGTCTGAAAGAATACCAATTCCTCCTGTAGGTAGACTTTGCTTTGGGTAGCAGAGGAGTGGTCCTGGAAGGTTATACCAAAACTATCTAGTGTTTTTCAGAAGCTCAAGGCAGCACTAAACCAGGCCATTACAGCAGTGTAATCTTGCTGCACACTAATCAAAATCCTAAGCTTTTGCCACCTCCATTTTAGAAGATGAATTACCTGTGTGTCTTTTCCACAGATTGTTTAATGGACCAGAAGCTGACATCATTCCATTTGGATATCTTAACAAATTCCTATAAGGTAAATGAAGTTCAACAAATAGCTTTATGAAGTTAGTGTGATTCTGTTTCTTTCCAGATTATTTGCTTTATAAGACCAGAGCCCACTCTATCCCTAAACAAGACTGTGTCCCAATGAGCAAATAAAATAAGTCTAAAAAAGGATTGTCTCGAAAGGATAAAATAAGTGCTGCTACAATCAATAGGCCACTTGCTATGTACCCTAATGCAGTAACCCCCAAATCAGTCATGTGCCTCAGTCACCTAAAGTATTAAATAAGGCAGGGCTCTCTTTACCCCAGGCACCTCAATGGCTGCTCATGGACCCATGCTCTGTGGCACATCTCTGAGATGGAAGATCTGCCAGCATGGGCAGAACTAGGGGAACACTAAGACTTCTTGAGGCCAACCTGCTAAGGAGCCTGGGGAACTCATCAGAAGACAGGTAGGGGCCACTCCATCAACCCCCAACACACTTGGCCAAGTTGGCAATGTGCCATGCCACAAAATTTAAGTCTTACATCCCACTTCATAGTGCTTCCTCCATTCCCCTTAGACCCTCACCTCACTGTATCTAAAGAAAACATGGCCTATGGCTAAACGGGTAAAATAATAGAATTAAATAAAAAGTATTTGCTGATTCTTGTTCTCCCCATAGTGAGCATCAACAGCTGTTCATCTTACTTTAAGTTCCTTCTCTATGGGGGACCGAAGTTCCATGATTTTGGCCTGGACCCGGTCATAGAACTGCTTGTAATAATGATACAGATTCCACAGAACACTGCAAAGTGAATCTGGAAGAGAGGAAAAGGTAACAAAAACACCACACTTGCTGTATGTGCCACTGGTCCCAGCTGTGGGCTTCACATTTCAGTGATGATCCTTTCTCACTACTAAAGGCCATGAGGTTACAGCACAACATTCCACAGGCAGATCATGTAAGAGTCCATCAGAAAACGTCTGTAGTTCCCACAGATGCAAGCTGTCAAAACTACCCTAGTTTTTCACTTCAGCTTATAGGAAATTTTTTTTGTTACACTTCTGTTTTTAAAGATGATTCACTCAGAAGTTCTGATAAGACCATAATTTTAAAACTCTCTGAAACCATTTTAAAAGTAAAAATCAGCAGAAACTGAGCCTGTTTTAAAAGATGGCATATTAAAAGGTTTACCCTGACTGCTCGTTCATGGACTATCTATACTGATTTTTTAGTGTGTCTGATTCCAACTGCTGTGGTCCGACATGTAATGACAGTAGGCAGTTTTACACGCAGTTATTTGGTATGTGGTGGGACTCAAAATAGATCAAAGAGCCTAATAATGGTCTGGATCAAGCCAGAGGCTTAGCAGGATGTGTGCACTGTCTAGACAGAAAGATGTGTTGCCTCCACATGCCAATCCTGAGAGCTTCATGCAGTAATTTAACTCTGCCAGCATTTGCTAGTCAGGGCTTCATCTATAACCAGTCTGCACTTTACTCTGTATGTTCTTCTCTACTTCTAATATGAATTCTATCTAAATAAAAGGCGACTAAAAGTGTCTTGTTTAAAACCCAGCATGCAAGAAGATACCTGTCTCATGTGGACAACTGAAAACCCAGCCCATTTTAATAGTGCAGTGTGAAAACAAAGAAAAAATATCCTTACCCTTTCCTTCAACTTGTGGCATCAGCAAGACATGGCAATGGAAAACCAGTAACATCTGAAGTCGAACATGGAATTCTCCCAGAGACGATCCTTCAATAAATGCTTGTAATGTGCTGACCAGCAACATCAGGGTCATCTGTTTTTCATCTTTAGAGATTCAAAGAGGAAAACATGTGTTTGCCCTCAACCATCACTCCGTATTCACAACATGCAGGCACTCTTACTATGGGATAAACTAAGGGATGGGTATTAAACAGAGACCACAATTAAAGCAAGGACCACAGCTAAATTCCAAGCTTGATATAAAACCATCAGCTGCACACAGGGTATGTGTTAAATGTACTCACAGCAAATTATGAAACTGAATTACAATGTGCCTATGGTGAGCATGAAATGGAATCCTTTAACTCAAGTATGTTAACTACTACCTACCATGCTGACAACTTTCATTTTAATCTGTCTCGTGGCCAGAGAGAATTAAGGAAATTTTATCACTGGCCATTTAGACTTTGGAGAGGTCACTCAAAGCTCTCTGACTTCAGTTACTCTCTCAGGAAAAAAAGAATTATACTGCCTTCTTGGCTGACCTGTCAGGAATACCGTGAAGTCACATGGGCATCCTTCACATCTACTTGAGAACAGTGGAGAGATGTGAGAGCAGGGAGAGCCTATACCGTGCAGTGCTCCATGTCTAGCTGGTCATTGTTAGCTACCTTTAAGTCATCCCTGACTCCTGCTAACACCATGCACAACAGAACAAAACACTGCCCAATCTTGTGCCATCCCATGACTGTTGGTGGATTAGACCATTGTGATCCATAGGGTTTCCATTGGTTGATTTTCTAACATGGATCGCCAGGTCTTTCTTCCTAGCCTGTCTTAGTCTGAAAATTCCGCTGAAACCTCTTAGCACCACGGCAACATACAATGACAGAGGGTGGTAGCTGTCCATAAGGTACGCTGGCTGGGAATTAAACTTAGGACTCTCGTACAGACGATGAGAATTCTACTACTGAACAACCACTGCCCTCCAAGTTTAACTTGGAACCTCTGCATAAGCAAGCAATAGACAGACAGGTGTTACCTTCCTGCTCTTCTGTTTGTTCCTGCATATGCTTCTCAAGCATCTGATAGATAGAGAACCAGTGCTTGGTGGATTTCTCAGTATGGTGCTTCATGGTATTATCCAGACTCAAGGACCAGCAGCTGGAAAATGAGAGGAGGAGCCAGGGAAGCATTAAGGACAGCCCTTTTGAAATACGTGAAGTCACGAAGTAGAAGCTAAATGCACCCCATTGTCTTCTCCAAGATGGAGATGGAGAGGCCATATTTGCTCCCTCAGGAATATATGCTATTTTTCAGATCTGCAAGAAGTCATTTTGATGCCTTATTTTTAACTCCGATTAATGAATGAAAAGCACATTCTCTGTCATCCTCCACATACTCTGAAAAGTCCCAACTATCACAAAATTCCCTACAACACAAGCTCAGAAAGAAGGAAGTGATAAATGCATTACTTACTTCAGCTCCAATTTACGCCATCGAATGATCATCTGAGTGACCAAATCAAGATGCTTCCGCAGAGACAAAGCTCGACTTGCATTTTCCTCCCAATCCTAAAGAAGCAAAGTTGAAATCAACTCAACAGCAACATCAACAACATGACTACTATTTAATTCTCTAACTGGACTGTCCCTCAGGAATATCCCAGACTTTTCCTAAGTGAGCTAAGATTCAACATTACGGGGCCCTTAAACACAAATCACACTGGTTTTCCAGTCATAGTAATGACTTCATATCCAGTCTATCCAGCCTCACGGCCTCTCTAGTCACTGACAGAACTCCAGCACACCCAAGTTTAGAGGGTTTAGGCAAAGCATGGGCTTTGGAGACCTGAGTCTAAGTTCCTGCTATTTCCTATCTAACTGGGAACAAAGTCACACAATCCCTCCAAAGTACAGAACCCCAATCTTTGAAGACGGGATGTACCAGACACCTCATGAAGTTACAAGCAAAAGAGGTGATATATATAGGTACTCAGGTACACTGAAGGCCTGTCTGGCAGAGTGAGCCCTCAGTATTGGCGAACACTGTTGAGCTCCTTGCTTAAGAACAGGTGAAATGGGTGGTTCCCTCCACAGGCAATGGCTTCACTTATACTGATCAGACCACATGTCACAAAACACTACGCAAGATTATCCTTGTTGAACTCAAACTATCACTGTCTGTCTCTGTAACAACAAAGGTGCCATAAATCTTTTCTCATTTGTTTACAAACTAAAATGAGGAAGAGAGAAATCATCATCATCTTACCTGTGCTTTTGCTAAAAGGATCTCTAAGCCATGTAAGAACTTTGAAATTGGACTGGAAAGCGGAAAACCACGAATTCTGTCCATCACAACCAAAAGCTGCAGAGGGTGAGGAAAAAAAATGGGTATCCCAGCGGGAATTTTAATGAACCAAAGTCACAGAATACTTAAGAGAGACCTGACTGAAAGTTTCACAAAAAGCCCCTCCTTAGCACCACGCAAGCACTCTGCAAGATGTGGATGAAACTCATGGGCCTGAAGATCCTGACCAAGATAAACTATGTTACATTACTCTTTTTCTTTTTTAAAAATATTTGATTACAGTTTGAGTGAAAGTTTACAATGTGAATTAGTATTTTTAAAATAAATAAATAAATAAATATAAACACACACACACACATATAAAATATATATTCCCTCCCCCAACCTAACTAGTAATCTTCCCTCTCCTCCCCGGTAACCAATAAAAAAAGTCTCCTTCCATATATAAGCCTTTCCTTGACTTTTTACAATAGTGGACTAATACAGTATTTGTCCTTTTGTGATTGACTTACTTCACTCAACATAATGTACTCCAAGTTCATTACATTATGCAGCATTTTGCAGATTCTAGGTTATTTTTTAGTGTTGGATAATATTCCATTCTGTTATTATTATTCCATTAGGTCTTGAACTAAGATTGAGCTTGATAATTACTTTAATTACTCTTTGTAATAAGAGTTATTACCAAATTAATTAAAGACCAAAGAACAATGTCTAAGGTGAAACTGCCCATCTTGAAAAAGCAAGGCCTAATTCTAGCACATTTAAGAACATCACAGGACTCTTAGCATCTCCCCCACCTCCAAACCCACTGCCACTGAATTGATTCTGACTCAAAGTGACCCTATAGGATAGAGAAGAACTACTCCATGGGGTTTCCAAGGTTATAAATCTTTACAGAAGCGAAGGCCTCGTCTTTCTCCTGCAGAGCGGCTCAAATCCCCAACCTTTTGGTTAGCAGCTGAATTCTTTTAACCACTACACTACCAGGGCCCCTGCCCTTGCTAAGAGATGTGTCTAAATAAGCAGAGCAGCAGCACAGCAGCATTATAATGCATAGCGGTACCCCTACCAAAAATAAAATTAATGCCACCTGTGACAAGCAACGGCCAAGTATCATTTAGACAACATCACTACAAACTAGCATGCTCATCCTGCATTAAAGGAGGAGCCCTGGTAGCATAATGGTTAAACGCTAGGTTGCTAACTGAAAGGTGGAACTCAGCAGCACCACAGAGAAAGACCTGGTGATCTGCCTAGAAAAACTCTAAGGGGTAGTTCTACTTGGTCACATGGGGTCACTCTAAGTTGAAATTAGTTGAACTACACCTAACAACAGCAACAAATCCATGTTTATATGTACAAATGTGCAAGTGCATGCCCCCAGGATGGCCTAAAGCCACCTCAGTGCAGGTAAGGTACCTTGGACAGCCCACCCCTTCCTCACTGGCTGCCCTACCTGCTCAAGGGCAGGGTGTTCCGGCCAATCCTGCAGCAGCTGACTGACAGCATCTGAGAATCCCTGAAGCACAGGTTGGCACTGCCAGGCTTCTGGGATGTTGGGGTGCTGATAAAAGTCATAAGGCCCATCAGGCTTCACCATCAGGTCTGAGGAAGCTTCCCCAAAGAGAGTGTTATGGGAGAGTGTATAGGCCAAAAGCTGGCTGCCCAAGAGCTGGTCATTCAGCTCAACCCCTGTGAAATTAAAAAACATCCCAGTAAATTCAGTGACCTGAGTAAGTAGGTCTATCAACAAGCTATAAAGATGCTGGAAACGCAAAAATAATGAACGAACTAGGACTAATGAAGTAGGTATTTCAATCCCACTCTCCCCCAAAGCAACAGTGGCCTAAAGAACTCTGACTCTAACACCACAGTAGTCATCAGAAATTGTCAAATTTTGTGGATATACAGAGAAACTCAGATTCTGTCTAGTATAATCAAGAGGGTGCCCAGTTCACCTTGAGGTATTCAAATTCCCAATTTGTGTAGCTTTTCTGGGTGGGGAAAGACAAAATTTAAAACCTCCTTCCTATATGCATGGACTAACTCAAGAGGTTTTTTGAGATTAAATTTCAGTTCCCAGGTTGCCCCCAAGAAGAAGACATCATTTCATTTGAAAAGCACTAAAGCCATTAGAGGAAAAGTACAAATAACAACAGAGCATTTAAACTAACTCCTTGTCTTTACTTTCTTAATCTCTTCAGCCCAGAGTATTCAAATGATGAAAATCCATCTTTACTGCAGAATTTTAAATCTATTATTTTGAATTAGCTGAAGTCTTTTAAGCTACAGATACTCTATCACTAAGGAATTACGTAAAAATAGGAAGTAATGGTTTTAATTGCTCCAGAAGAAGCAACCACACCTATTTGCTTTGATTTCCCAAGGGCATAACAAAAACAAACCACCATACCCATCAGAGGGTAGAAGTGTGTTACAAGCGACGCCCCAGTCTGATAGCAGGACAGAAACAGGCCAAGGTAATGCTTTGCCTCATGTGGTGGCAGGATTTGCTGGTACCAAAGGGATCGAGCAAAGTTGAGGCACAGCTGCTGGTGTATCAGCATCACAGCTTGCATTGAACTCTGGGAGAGGACAGCGGTGTCAATGGCTGCTTCCTCTTCCCGACCATCTGAAGTTTCCTTTTTCTCATTTAGTGTTGACTCCACCAAAATGTCTGCAAAATCCTGTAAATAACATTAGAGCAATTTAACAATTTGGTTCTAACCAGAATAAACTACTAAAAGGAAGAGGGAAAGAAAGAATGTAGATAACTGAGAAAATGAAGCAGTACCTTATATGCATTAAGATCTGTTTCAAAGGCTACAAAAGCCAGTTGAAGGGAATGTGCGTGATATCAAGAGAACTCATTCCAAAACAAGCCCTGCTCCCAACTGTCCTAACCTTTTCGTGCTGTGGAAACTGTCTTCTGAACTCTCGCTCCTCCTCCTCCTCTTCACTCAGGGCAGTCCTGGAGTTTCTGCTCCTATATCTATAGAGGCTGCTTTCCTGCTCTGCCTTCTCTTGGGCTATGCGTTCCTGTTCATCCCACTCATTGATGATTTCCTGAAAAGTCACACATGCAGAAGGGAGCTTATTAGCCTTTGCTGAGGCATTTGTAAGGAACAAAGGCAAGACCTGCTTTCTCATGAAACAGAAAAGATCCAAAGTTTAAAACAAACAGAAGTCAACATCCTAAAAACTAAATTCCATGAAACAGAGAACAAGTGTTTTCAAATTATATGCACAGCAACCTAAGTTTCCTAAACTCCTCCTTGCTGGGTGTGACTGCTGGGAACTTCCTGTCAGGAACAAATGGTGCTTTGTAATAAGGACAGGCTCAGCCTGCAATGTGAGGACTATGGTGCAGACTGCACTTGCTGGCTCCTCAAGGAGCTGGCCCAGGGGTTCAGGAAAGGAAAACATAGGTTGGGGTAGGGTAGTCAAAGTGTACCCACCAACCAGGCAAAACTCGATGTGCTGAATCTCCTACTACCTCTAAGACTTTAAAAAAAAGCCAAACAACTTTCTAAAAATTAAATTTTTATGTGCTTCCAA